GTGTGTGTGTGTGTGTGTGTATGGATTGGATAAATTACTGGAAATCTTTTGGTAATATAAATTTCTTTAATAATACACAATTTTTTAAATGATGTTTATTTACAGAAATGCGATATGTCCGACGAAATGAAACAGGAGGCAATGGAATTATGTGTGACTGCAGCAGAAAAATACGCAGACAATTATGAGAGCGTATCTCGAATGATTAAGGAGACAATGGATAAAAAATTTGGTGCGTCATGGCACACTGTTGTTGGAGAAGGCTACGGTTTTGAAATAACTTATCAATTGAAGCACCTTCTATATATGTATTGTGCAGGCAATTTGGCAATATGCATTTGGAAATCTGCATAGTGCAGTTTCGACACTTATTATAATTTATTTTATGTATTTATATGTATTTATGTGTTTATATAATGCATATATATATGCTTGAATGTACGTATAAAAGTACTTTTATATGAATGTGTGACGCATATGTAAGATAAACTGTTACAAGAAAAGAGGAAGAATGTTTAATTGTAATATCTCAGTGTGGGTCCAATTGTGTGTGTTTAAGTCAAATATTTTATATTCATAATTAAATATATTGGAAATACAAAACCAATGATGATAATCTGATTAAGATGTATCATATAAAATATAACAATTAATATATAGAAATACTTTCTGGTATAAATTATATTTAAATTATTTATTTTTATTTAGAGAACAGTTTAATATATGGCAGTATGTGTAAGAATATATAAGATTCAACATTAAAAGTACTTGTTTGTAAGAAGATAATAATACATTATATAATACATAATATATATTAATAATAATACATAACATATATTTAAAAAATTCATATACATGACAGTATTTGAAAATACATATTTATCTTTTGCATGTAAAATTTATCAAAAATCTGTAACCGTCCTCCATACAAGAACTGCTATGTTACCTCCAATAAACATATATAATAGTGAATTCTCTTGATATGTAATTGCACATGCATAAGCTTCCCCAACGACTACTTGGAATGGTGGACCAAATTTTTTATCCAGATTATCTTTAATCATGCGAGCTGCATGCTCGAGATTCTCTGAATATTTTTCCACAGCAGTGACACAGGTTTCTATGGCTTCCTGCTTCATATCCTCTGGCATATCACTGTGCTACAGAAAATTTCTGTAATAATTAAAATTGATACCCTAATTGACTTATGAATGTGTTACAAATAAAATCAATTTACCTTACATAATGAATATGTATGAACCATTGGAGTTGTAACTTCTTTCTTTATCTCTCCAGCCCACATTTTACAAAGATGTCTCTTTAATTATTTTATTGTATACTCAGACATATACAATAGTAAAAATTATATTGTGTTTTTAATATTCGATAGGATCCATATATTCAATATGATATATATCTGGTTATTTATATACATACGACAAACAAATGAACATATGACATGTACACTATATGTTATTGAAATTTTTCAAGAAAGTGAAATTGAGAATTTATATAATTTTACGTATATACATATATTATATGTATATATATATTAAAACTATATGTATATTACATATGTAGCTTAATTTATAAAAATCATTATAATA